CCCCCCTTTGGGAATGGCTTAAAGACACTTCAGTCAGTAGCCTCGCCTAGGGGGTATCTCATAGTAGTGTAACGGTTACGATGTTCGCAATGGTAACAAAAATTTTCCAAAATTTTCTCATTTCACCTCCTTTCCTGCTCTCTAACAATGTTCTCTTGTCTGGTTTCGTCTCCACTTTCTGCCCCACCCCCTCAACTCCCTTGCCCCCTCTTTTGGGCTGCTGGCTCTTTCTGCAGCCTTTCTACTACTTCTCAATGGCTCCTTCTTACTGCTGTCTTTCGGCCACCCCGTGATCTTATGGTAGGAAAGATCTACACCTAGCCTTCTCTGAAAAGGGCGGAAAATCTCGGAGGTCCCGTGTGCAAGTTGCGCTCGTTAAAGATCCCTAGGTGGTCTAAAATTGATAAGAGTAGGTTCGGCCGCCACCCGGGCAAAATTCATAATTTTCTGCCCACTGAAAAAAGTTTAAGGTATCCTGCGCGCTCATATGACCTTATTTTTAGTTTTATTTTTAGTAGAGGTTTTACGGCGCTCGCAACTGCATAAGGTCATATGAGAGATTAGAGCTGTTACAAGAGAGTAACAAACATAAAAAAGAAGAAGGGGAGGTAAGGACGATAGATGGTTGATAGGAATGAAGAAGCAAACCACACCAGAGCACCCGCCAACCCATAAAACCTCTACTAAAACTTTTTTTTAAATGACCTTATTCAGTTCTGAGCGCCGTAAAACACTTACCAAAAAAATTAAAAAATTATTATATTTCAACGTCACGTGACACGATGTTTGCTGATGTGTCGTCAGGTCGCAGCGTGCCCCAAATAGCTCTCCGCTGGCTCCTGCAGAAAGACGTGGTGACGTCAGTGATCATCGGGGCTCGGACTCTGCAACAGCTGGATGACAACATGGCCGCTGCCAACGGATGGTCCTTGTCTAAAGAGGAGGTGAGGGTCGTATACTGTTACACTGTGTGTGTGTAGGTGGGAGGGGGAGGGGGGGTTGTTTTAGCTGCTAGGAGTTTTTGTGTCCGGGGTGTGTGGGGTTTTT